ATATATATATATATATATATATATATATATACATACATACACACACCTTTAGCCTCAGATGCCACACATTCAAGCAGATTTTGCATGAAAAAATTACGAGAGCTTTCAAAAAAATTTATAAATAAAAACACTAAGCTTTAAACTGATTGGCTGGATTTATTAGTAGCAAGTAAACAAGATATGTTGCCAAGATGACTCATTCCTGTCTAAGTGAGCAGTTTTTGTCCAGAATAAGTTGAGGAAAAGACTTTGTATAGATGGTCAAAGGTCTGTCTACATGAGACTATTAGAAGCTTTCAGTCTTGATGCACTCTATTCAACAGCCAAACTTGTTGATTAAATCACTATCGACTTTCTCTGCATGCATATTCTAGCCTTGTCGTCCCCTCGTGTCTCGGAGAAAGTGAGTGTGAGACTATTATGCCGAGAGGTGAGCTAGAAATGTAGCACCATTATTCTCACTGAATCACTGCAGGGCTAAACATTGTGAATCAGCTTGTACACCCGTCGCCTGTTTTCAGCCCAGGTCCTCCTACTGAAAAGCTGCTTTAACACAAACACTAATTGAACGGCTGCATAAGAAGGTCTTCTCAGAAGCTTGACAGTCGGATGGCATGATATCGATCCTCGAGTCGCATTATTGAATAACATAACAACCAGAAAGGACACGCACCTTCTAGCTGAGATATTAGCCATCCACCAGTCGAGCAAACATCTGTGGTTTTAATGAGCGGAGCTCGGCAGGGGTGAGGCATGATATTTATTAGCAGAATCAGTGTGATTGGAGAACTCTTTTCTTACGCATCTCGGAAAAAAAGTGAGAGACAGCAAAGGCTCAGGGTTAATGGTGATTGTTTGGTTATCTCTCCTCCCTGGTGAAATGATTACTTCAGAGTCAGGGCTCTGTATGTGCCCAGGTCGGAGTAAAGGACCAGGCTTGATTGTCTGGGAGATGAGCCTTGGGTGGAATTAGAGATCAGGCAATTACCTCGAAAAGAAAGAAAAGAGGAGGGGAGGAGTAAGGCTTTTAAGGAGTAAGGTTTAAAAAAAAAAACGGAAAGGAGAGTTGTGCAGAGGCCTAAATATTAATTAATCACAAATTTGTTACTGGTAAAGCCGTATCAAAATAATTTAGCACAGCTGCCAACAGGAAGAAATAAGTTGAAGTATTTTTAGCAGTGTTTCCTTGTCACAATTTCTACTGGCCATACTTTTTTTTTAGTTTTTTTTCATTAAACATTCTCACATAAAGTGTGACTTAGTGTGGTCGCATTAGCATATTCATTTTAGTTTAAGTTTTAGTACTTTTGTCATTTTTATTATTTCTCTTTTTTAATATTTCTGTTTAGCTTTTTTATTTTAGTTTGAAGTCATTTTAGTGCTTCAGCATAAACATTTATTTGAGTTAGTTCATTTCAAGCAACATTTCTGATTTTTTCATCTTATAGTTTATTTCAGCATTATTGCACTGAAGCACTGAAGAAAGCATGGGCTGAAACGTCTGCTCTTTGGTCTGTTTTTAAAACACTTTGCACCAGGGCCGGAGTGGGACTCATTTTCAGCCCTTGAGTTTCATGCCTTAGACCGGCCCACTTAGTTTTGGGTTGGGGTGCCATGGAAAAAAAATACTACAAACGGGTGCCATGCTTTCAAAAAGTTTGGGAACCACTGGTCTATGGTACAGTATGTGTATGTCTGTGTTTAGTTTAAATTTAACAGATGTGTGCAGGGCCGGAGTGGGACTCATTTTCAGCCCTGGAGTTTCATGCCTTAGACGGCCCACTTTTTTTTTTTTTTTTACTGGCCTTTCCTTTACTGCGCTTTCTATTATACATGTTTTATCTATTCTTTTTTGCTCGCATATCTCCAACAATGACTTTTTTTTTTGAGCAAGGTTCCGCTGTCAGGGGAGTCAAAAGATAATTACGTCATCATTGCCAATTAACATAAGAAATGGAAAATAAGGGACAATTGTGATTCTTTATCTTATTCTTTAAGAAAATAGTGTTTATTCTTGTAGAAAATAAGTGTTTATTCTTTAAGAAAATAAGGGACAGAATAAGGAACGTTCCAAATATTTGTACTGTACCATAATGTAGGCCTAAGTCTGCCTGCAGTTAAAAAGTTCTCAGAAATAATCACAATTGTTTTGCTTAACCTATTTATGTACAGTTATTCTAAAAATAATTTTAAATGTCATACAAAAAATGTTAGCAGCCGGCAGAGGATTCCGCTTGGTCTTAAAGACTTCCTCAAACGTCTATGTTCACAAATAAAACAACGATTTGTGCAAAAAGAATGATTAGTTATCACAGTCTATTTTAGTTATCATTTGAGAATTTGTTACTGATATGAT